AAACTTATTGCCAAGACATTCCATTATCCATACCAAATATGGAATGGGTAGGTCTTTATTATCCCCATAGCTGCTAAACTTATACAGTGATAATACAGAGAGGGACAGAGAAACAGATGCATGAATTTGAAATAAAAAAAGCTCATTACTCTTGTGCTAGGAGGACCCACACCAACCTTGGCCATTTTGATTTCTAGAAAACTTGTTTGTCCATAGAATGACTCATACTGATATTTGGTTGGTAAGAGTACATTAGTCATCTAGATGTGGTTGACTCATCTACCTAAAAAAAAACCTAACTCCAAGATAGCTCAATTTGTACCGAGTTATAAATTAAGACGTCTTCAGTTTGAATTTGGACAATCTCTTAGAATCAAAAAATGAACCTTTTTATGGATATCTTAGCATTCAATCATTATGTCCGACTGATTGTGCCTACTCTTCTCATCTTCTACTTGATCTTTCGATAATTATTACAATGTTTTTATGGAGACAGCACGGAGTGTGACCCATGAAGATGTCTATAGAATATGGTTACATTGTGCAAGTTACAATGAAGTACTATGACCTTGGACCAAATCAAAACGGGAAAAATCAGTCAATGATCTCTGCTTTAGAATCTAAATGCCTAAACTCATTAGTAATAATATAAAATTATATTCCAAATAAATTTTGGAGAAAAAATGGTATCGGCAATAATCAAAAAACAGAGTTTAGGCATTTGGTCCAAAATAAGGTGTATGAAAAGAAGAGGATAGAAAGAGTTTTTATTTCCATTCTTAGAGTTTGGAAAATAAGAGAGAATGAAAAGTGAGAGGAAAAAGGGATTCCTTCTGCCAACCAAAAATTATCCGTCGAGTTTTGGGTGGAAAAGAGCTCAATAGGAAAAGTTTTGACCATTAGAACACTATTTTGACTATTTTGTCCATTAAAGGCAATATTATATAAATGCCATTAATATGTGAAATGACATGCGATAACAAATGTGGGAAGGTCATAATTATAAATAAAATTAGTATTTATTTTTTTTTTAATTTTGGGCTAATTTCAATTTATACTCTGAAAAATCATTCTAATTTTAATATATACCCTCAAAATTTAAAAATATCAATTTATATTCTGAAAGACATAAATTTGTATCAATGTGCACCTGCGGTTAACTCTGTCCATTTTGTCGTTAAAAAAGTTTAGGCTAATTGTAAATTATACCCCTCAAAGTTTAAATATTTGATATTTATGATCCAAAAAATAATTTTATCTATTAATGCTCGTTAAATAACTCTTAATTGTATCGTATAATAACATTTTCGTGTCGTGTTCAAGTTAATACAAAAATATTTTTCAATTTTTTTTTAAAAAAAATTATAAAATACCTATTTTTTTTGCTTACAATACTCGTTAAATAATTATTTTTTATTTACAGTTAGATACAAATCTTTTGATTGTCAGATCAAATTAAAGTTATATATGAATAACACAATTGTAAATAGAAAATGGTTATTTAACGAGTATTATAGACAAAAAATAGATAATTTTTAATTTTAAAAAAATATTAAATATTATTACATGAATTGTTGTAAACGTAAAATATATAACATAACACAATTAACTCGACGTAAAAGTATCTTTTGTGTTAAAAATATTTTTTTATTGACTCGAATACGACATGAAAATGGTATGACGCGATACAATTAAGAACTATTTAACAAGCATTAATAGATGTAATTCTTTTTTGGAAGATAAATGTGAAATATTTAAATTTTGAGGGGTGTAATTTATAATTAATTCAAAATTTTTTAATGACAAAATAGGTGAGAGGTAGTCTCAAGTGCACATTAATACGTATTTATATATTTAAGGGTGTAAATTAATATTTTTAAACTTTACGGATATAAATTAAAATTCGAATAATCTTTCGAGATATAAGTTGAAATTAACATTTTAATTTTTCCTCTCATACCAAAATAATAAAAAATTAATCTCTCTAACTTTTCATCCATCCTACCAAACAAGAGATGAGAGAAAATATTTTTCTTTCCCTTAAAGATGAAAATTCTATATCCCTCATATTTTCCCATCATTCTTATTTTCATCCCTTCCACCAATTAGACCATTAACACTAGAAATGGTGAAAATATTGGGGTTTCCTCCTCACTTAATATTATTAAGATTTAATTTATTGATATAATTTATTTTGACTTTTGGATTGATTGTGGGTCTTATCAAACTTTTAACTTTGACATTAATTTAATGATTCCAATAAAATCATATCATTAAATTAATAAATTTAATTAAAATTTTATATTCAAATAATATTATTCCTAAGAAATTTAATTCAAGGACTTCTACTTTTGAGTGCCTGGCCTAGCCCACTTTGACCTTGTTGTCATTCCATGTCCACCACCAATTACATATTGCAAGCTGCCACCCTCAATAATCGCTTTTTATATTTCAGAAAGACAATATAAATTATAATAAATAAAACAATCATTAAAATTATTTTAAAATTTTTTTTGGATAATGAGAGAAATATTTGTCCTATTTTCAGCGAGATAGAGGCGATTTAGATGCTCAGGCTCGTGACTCTGAATAGAATTAAGAACAAACTTCAGTTATATGAACTGATTTTTTAACACATACATTAGTTAAATCATGAATTACGTTTCGGTGAAAATTTGAATCTATAACATAGGTTTGAATATAATTTATTTAAATAATTGAAATTTATCGTATCAACCAATTACACTTTTATCACGCCAAAATACTTAGAATTCTTAAATCTTCGTACAAGTGTATTATTGGATTAAAAACCATCGGTAAAATGTTTATTGATATCGGCTTTAGATTCATTGTAACACGACAAAAACAAGATTGGCATCAAGACGGCACAAGGGTGCGTTTTCACCAACACTAAAAACCGATTACTTTGTCCGAGTCAACTCGGCAAATCAGCATAATGATATCATCAACAAGTCAAAAAACAAAAAAAAAAGAAGCCAATTAGTCAAATTTATTTAACGGTCAAGATTGTCATATCTTTAGCTTGATGATGTTAGCTGACGGTCGAGNTAAAATAGATTTCATATTAAAAAATTATTTATGTTAAAGAATAAATACTAATAAACATTTTACAATACAATTATAATCCCTATCAATATATATAGAGCGAGAGTGATAAAATATATATCGACAGAGTTTTTAATCCAAAAACATATATATATTGNTTTGTAATATGCCCCGACAAGACTAAATAAGTAAAATAGATTTCATATTAAAAAATTATTTATGTTAAAGAATAAATACTAATAAATATTTTACAATACAATTATAATCCCTATCAATATATATAGAGCGAGAGTGATAAAATATATATCGACAGGGTTTTTAATCCAAAAACATATATATATTGATATATATATTTTATCACTCTCGCTCTATATTTTATTCTAAGTTATAAATTAAATAATATTTTTTAAAAAATTAAAATTGAATTTTTCCCTGTCTTATCCGTTTTCCATAATTTTTTCTTGGGAAAAACTGTGGAAAACGGCCAAGAAAATTCCCCAAAGCAACACGAAAGCAACGGCAAAAGAGAAAGGGGAGAGAGAAGGGAAGAAATAAATAAATTACATTTTATTGGGGGATAGGGAGTGAATAAGACGTTTTGAGCAAAAGTGTGTTTAAGTTCTCTTCATGTACGATGTGGGTCCCATTCTAAAACCTCTCTCTCTCTCTTTCTCTCTATATCTCTCTTCTTCTTNCTTCATGTACGATGTGGGTCCCATTCTAAAACCTCTCTCTCTCTCTTTCTCTCTATCTCTCTCTTCTTCTTCTTCTTCTTCTTGTTTCACTTATCTATCAAAAGAAACCTCCTCTGGGGGTCTATATAGACTCCTCTGTCTCTCTCTCATCCTTCGGAAACTTCTGTTTTGAAATTTGAATCCAGGGAAGGAGGGTAAACGAAACTGGAACAACAAGAGGATTTCGTTCTATATTATCTTTTATTTGGTAAGAGAGTTTGTGTTGATAGATACATAGACCTCTAAACGCCCGGTTTTGCACTCCGGCTCTTGTAGTGACTCGGCGGTTAAAAGCGGCGTGTGGCCGGTTTTTGTGAAAAAAGAAACGGGGTTCTTCGCCGGCTTCACCGATTGATTGTTCATTTTTTCTAGTGATTTTTTTGTTGGTATTTGTAGAGTTTTCGTTATTTATTGTAGTTATAGTGGCTGAGGTGTTGTATATAAATGTATTGGGTTGGTGATATAAAGACACGGTGGTGGGAGATGTGCAGATTAGTTGCAGTTGATGATATGGTGATGGTGAAATCTCTGGAGCTGCAGATGTCATACTTATCCTTGTGCATGTGAAGATAAGATCTGAAGATTGGATTGTTCAAAGTCTGGGTTTCATTGTCACAGATTGTTTGTTTTTACCAGGTATGATTCCTTCTGTTCATGCATTACCTTTTTTTTTTTTAAGGTTTTCATTTTCCTGCTAATATCAAGCAATTTATTGGTATCTTGGTTTTATTTCTTTTAACGCTATTAATAGTTGTTGGGTGAGGAAATTTCTAGGAAGTTTTCATTTGTATTGTTCTATTTGAACCCCAAAATGAATATAGATAAATATAGTAGATATGTATGAATAACCATTTGAGTCAAAAAATTGAATTTATATTATTATTTAGCTGGTTGATAAGTCATATCTTTTTGGCCAGAGGTTGGTAATGTTAGATCTTTAATTATTTCCATACATGTGGGCGTTTGTTTATGCATATTACAATAGTTTCCTACCCATTCCCCTTTTGTTTTTTTTTTTTAATTATTGAAGTGGTTTTTGATCTACTTGCACTTTTTTATATAGGAAATGGGTTTGAGAAGCCTGTGCTTTGTGCTTGTAACTCAATCAAATTGTTTCCTTCTACTGTAATATGCGTTGAGCAACCAAAGAGATTCAAACTTTATTTATAGATGGATTGAAGAATCAATCCATTGGATGCAATGCTAAGGACATTGGCATCTGGGCTATTGATTTCATCATTCCTCTTTTCGATTTCAGCTGCCGATAATGGGTTTCCCCGGTGTAATTGTGATGAGGTTGGTTTTTGGAGCACTGAGAGCATTTTGGAGTGCCAAAAAGTGAGTGATTTCTTGATAGCAGTGGCCTATTTTTCAATCCCAATTGAGCTGCTTTACTTTGTTAGCTGTTCAAACGTTCCATTCAAATGGGTACTCTTTCAATTCATTGCTTTCATTGTTCTCTGTGGAATGACCCATTTGCTCAACGGCTGGACTTATGGCCCCCACCCATTTCAGCTAATGCTTGCTTTAACCATTTTCAAATTTCTCACTGCATTGGTCTCTTTTGCCACTGCTATAACCCTTATCACTCTCATCCCTTTGCTGCTCAAAGTGAAGGTGAGAGAATTAATGCTAAGGAAGAAGACTTGGGATCTTGGTCGAGAGGTTGGAATCATAAAGCAGCAGAAAGAAGCTGGGTGGCATGTTCGGATGCTCACCCAAGAGATCCGCAAGTCACTTGATCGGCATACCATATTAAATACAACTCTGTTTGAGCTATCGAAGACACTGGATTTGCAGAACTGTGCTGTTTGGATGCCAAATGAACATAAAACTGAGCTGAACCTAACCCATGAATTGGAAGGGAGGAATTTTTCAAACAGATATAATTTCTCAATCCCAATTAGTGATTCAGATGTGAGAGAGATTAAGGGGAGTGATGGAGTAAAGATACTTGGCCCCGAATCAGCACTTGCAGCTTCAAGCAGTGGAGGAACTGGGGACATAGGAGCTGTGGCTGCAATTAGGATGCCAATGCTGAGAGTTTCAAACTTCAAAGGTGGAACTCCTGAGATGGTCCCAGCCTGTTATGCAATACTTGTTTTGGTCCTTCCTGGTGGACAAAGTAGATCTTGGAGCAAAGAGGAACTTGAAATAGTGGAGGTGGTTGCTGATCAGGTGGCTGTGGCTCTCTCACATGCTGCGGTGCTTGAAGAATCCCAGCTCATGAGAAATAAATTAGTGGAGCAAAATCGAGCCTTGCAACAGGCGAAACAAGACGCAATGATGGCAAGCCAGGCAAGGAACTCGTTNGCTGTGGCTCTCTCACATGCTGCGGTGCTTGAAGAATCCCAGCTCATGAGAAATAAGTTAGTGGAGCAAAATCGAGCCTTGCAACAGGCGAAACAAGACGCAATGATGGCAAGCCAGGCAAGGAACTCGCTTCAGATGGTAATGAGCAATGGCTTGAGAAGGCCCATGCATTCAATCCTTGGTTTACTTTCCATGATGCAGGCAGATAATTTGAGTAGCCAGCAAAGAACTCTTTTTGATGCAACGGTTAAGACCAGCAGCGTCCTCTCGACCTTGATAAATGATGTAATGGATAATTCAATGAAGGAAAACGGAAGGTTCCCACTGGAGATGAGGTCTTTCCGGCTACATTCCATGTTAAAAGAAGCTGCTTGCCTTGCCAAATGCTTGTGCATTTATAGGGGTTATGGTTTTGCCATTGAGGTTGAGAAGTCATTGCCAGATCATGTTATGGGCGATGAGAGAAGGGTGTTCCAGGTGATTTTGCACATGGTTGGTAATCTTTTGAATGGCAGCAATGGAGGAGGGTGTTTAACGTTTAGGGTTGTTTCTGAAAGTGGCAGTCAGGGAAGAAATGATCAGAGATGGACTGCCTGGAGATCAAATTCCTCTGACAGGTATATCTATATCAAGTTCGAGATCGGGATTAGATATAGTTGTTCTCAGTTCAAGGAAGTGATTTTGACAGAACCGGTTGCTGGTCAGAGACACAGCAGTGAGCGAGTTGAGGAAGGCTTGAGCTTCAGCGTGTGCAAAAGACTAGTGCAGGTGCGTGCAATGTGTGTGTGTGTGTGCACGCTCTTGTGCGAATGTTGATCATTAGAAACTGATGACTAATGACAAAGTCAGAATTTTATGAAACGAGCCTATGCATTGCAATTCTCACATACTCCCTGGATTAAGGAGTCAATTTCATACTAATCTCGTCCCACAAGTATAAGACCTTGCTTTTGTGATACACTTATCACTTATTCCAAGATTAAAATTTGATGTTAGACATTGTAATCTTATCTTATCTCAAGAGTAAAATGCCAATAATATGCTCTTAAAAATAGTTCAAAATGAATGTTCTGCGGAAGTACTCTATCCTGAGCCTTGTTATGGANTCAAGAGTAAAATGCCAATAATATGCTCTTAAAAATAGTTCAAAATGAATGTTCTGCGGAAGTACTCTATCCTGAGCCTTGTTAAATTTGAATGGCATGAATCCAAAATGGCGTTTCAATATGATTTTGTTCGTGTGCTTGGATCTTGTTGGTTCGTCTTAAGTGATCTTCTGTGGAAATGGTTATATGCCCCTCCTACCGCTACGGTTTTCAAATTATCGAGACTGCATTTTGTAAGAATTGTTGATTTTGTGTGGCTCTTTTAAGCAGATATAATCTTTTGAGCGTCAAGCAGTTTCTTCTATTGAAATATAGCCTGGAGACTATTCTTGTAGTTAGTAAATCTAAAGATTCAATTGTTTCTGAAACTACAATAGGGGAAGACAACAGTTTTAACTCTTTTGTTTGCTTCACAGAGTGGTTAGTTGCATCCTATTAGACAATCTCCCTATGTTCTGGGAGTGCTTGAGTTTTTAGTCAATTCTTTTTCATTCTATGCCTAAATTATTTTTTTCATTTGAAAATTGGCAGTTAATGCAAGGGAACATCTGTATAGTCCCAAATCGAGAGGAATTTGATCAAAGCATGGCAGTTGTTCTTCAGTTTCAACTCAGGCCATCCATTGTTGTAGGCATATCTGAAACTGGAGAATCTTCAGAGCACCCACATTCCAGTTCTCTCTTCAGGGGCCTTCAAGTTCTGTTAGCTGATTATGATGACGTGAACAGGGCAGTGACACGGAAACTACTTGAGAAACTAGGCTGTACGGTTTCCACAGTTTCATGCGGATATGACTGCCTTAGTGCTCTTGGCCCAGCTGTATCTTCTTTCCAAATTGTTCTTTTAGATCTTCACATGCCTGACTTGGATGGATTTGAAGTTACAAACAGAATTCGGAAGTTTCGAAGCCGTAGCTGGCCTTTGATCATTGGCTTAACATCAAGTGCTGATGAAGATGTGTGGAAAAGATGCTCTCAGATTGGAATGAATGGAGTTATTCAAAAACCAATTCTTTTGCAAGGAATTGCAGATGAGCTTCGAAGAGTCCTGCTGCTGGCAAACAAATTTGTGTGATGATCAAGACTGTAAGTTACAGAAATGCATCATATGTGGCATTAACCTTGTTAGAATAATCAAACATAATTTCCTTGGTCAGCACCTCCTCCTAGCAGTAAATTACACCTTAAAATGGTATAGAAATGATTACCTTCTTTGCCATTGTGTTTAAGGTCTACTTTGTTTGCATAGGTAGCTTGATATTCGATACTGATATTAAAATTACAATTAACACATCCTTCTAATTAGTGTAAACATATAAAATGAGCAGTTTGTAGATTCATGTTCAAAGCATTTAGTGAACAGAACCAATTATGTGTTGTGAAAATGCAGTAGAATTATCAAATCTGTTCTCTTGATATGCATATATTTCGGAATTTGTACCTTGGTTACATCATTTGGAGGATTTACATCTATGATCCTTCCAATTCTCGAAGCGTTTATTGTATATTTAGTCATTCTTTTAATCTGTTGAATGTGAGGTAGTTTCTACCCCTTGTTTGAGAAATATGTTAAGAGTACCAACATCATTAATTTCACCAAAATTTTCATTAGTGTCTCCCATATATATAGTCTGATTAGGCCCATGCAACAGAAATTCATACTATCCCTCGTTACCCATATCTTGTCTTACCTTGATGACTTCTGAATATTTATCCTTGTATGTTCCTAGGAGCTTGTGTCTCAGAGATCTGCAAATTAGAGATGAACAACCACCATCCCGACTTTACTAACACCGGAGGTGCATTAATCGATGACCCCCTGAAATTTACTTTCTTTCAGTTACTTGCATGTGATTTGCACGTGTCACATGTGTTCTTTTGGTGGGTGGTTGGGGAGTTTGGTGTGTGTGTTTTTTTTTTTTTTTTTTTTGGGGGGGGGGGGAGATTCTAGTTTGTTTGGAACGGGGGGGAAATGGAAGTAGTAATGGGATGGGGTCAAATTGAGATATTTTGTGTTTGTGATAAAACGAGAGCATGCATGAATGGGTACGTATTTAGGCGCTGTCAGTTCAATTCAGTGGCAGCGCCCACATGGCCCCATATTCCTTATCTCCACAAACACACGTCATGAAGTTTTCTTACATTTCTCTTGTCACCCTCCACAGAAAAAGGTAATAGCTTTAATTATGTGAAAATTATAGTGACACCCCTACTAGTTTTTGATAATTTTGCAATGGTGTTCTCTTGGTTTTTACAATTAACTATCGGTTAATAGAGCCGGTGGAGACGTGCAGTCTCTCTCTCTCTCTCTCTCTCTCTCTCTCTCTCTCTCTCTCTCTCTCTCTCTCTATGTGTGTGTGTGTGTGCACGTGCGCCTTCCACAATGAGTAGGTATGTAGTGTGAGTTTAAAAGCAACGAGGGTATTCCATGCTATTATGACATAATAAAGGGGATGTAAAGTTAAATATTCCTTTAATATGTCATGTTCGTTTTTTTCCATTTCTGTAGTCTATTTGAACATATGATTATATTATTTTTTTGTAAGACTTGACGTTAGATCCTCTTGGAATATGAATGAATGATCTCTTTCCACACGGCATTCTCATTCGCCATCCATCTATGTTTTTTGTCAATTAAATTCCACTGCATGTCTGCTTTAGTGGCATTAGGTGGTGGCGCATTTGCAAATGATTTGGTGTTGCTCTGGCTTCTGAGTTTTCTTTTTGTTATTCATTATTCTTAGTGGGTCCCACATCCTAATCTGATGGCTGTTATTTACCCACAAAGATCTGATGGCTACTATAATTTTTCATCTTTGCTCACATGATGCTTTTTCTTTTTTCTGTTTTGTTACATGATGCAAAATCCCGTTCTTAGACATGGTGCTGACGATGTTAGCGGTTGGCCACCGCTTTCTTTCTTGGGTCTGAAAGTCACGGTTCGAATTTCATTGCTCCCACTGAAGATTCTAATTTCATTTAAATTTGATATGAATTTTATAAATAATTAGGTTAGTGTTTATCTTTTAATATAAGTTGATTTCAAGTTTGAATAAAAGGAGGAGTTATGATAAAAATAAATAAATAAATAAAAGTAGGAGTTTATAATAAGCAACCAACAAAAACTGCACTCAAGTAATCTAGATAGTCCTATTTGGTTTGTATCTCAAAAAATAATGTCTGAAAATTATTTTTAAAAAGAATTTTTAAAAAATTTTAGATTAAAAAATTTATTTGATTATATATTTTTAAAAATAATTTTAAAGAACAAAAATTATAAAATTTATTTGAACAATAATTCACAATTTTCGCATCTCTTCAACTCTCAGTCTCTCTCTCTCTCTTTCAGTTTGTATCACCCACCGCCCATAACCGAGAACCACCACCAATCCAACACCCACAACCACCACCAATCCAACAACCACCATCAACCCAACACCCATAACCACCATCAACCCCTGTTGAGAACCACCCAACACCCACCACAAAGACCGAGTTTAAATCTGTGCACAGATCTGTGTTTTGGCAGCTGTTGGAGCTCCGTTGGACGACTGGTGCCTTCATAGGTGGACCCACGTGCTGATTCGAGCAATGGAGATGGGGCTTCATTGGGTTTGGGGTTTTTAGAGCAATGGAGGTGGGTTCACTGGTGGTGGTACTCCGGTGGCTTCGGTGGCAATGGTGGTGGCGATTCACTGGTGGAGATGGCGATTAGGGTTAGGGAATTGGGAGTTATGCGTACGGGAGTCACAGACTCACAGTAGACAACAGAAAAGGGAAGCACCTTCGTTGCAGACCGAGGGAGAGAGAGAGAGAGAGGAGACGTGTTGATCTGAAGAAGAGAGAGAGACGTTGGAGAAGAAGTCTGGAGAGAGAAAGGAAGAAGAAAAAAAAAAGAATAAAGACTTTTGCTGCCAAGGGTTAAAGTCTAAATTGTTCTCCTTGTTTTCAAAATTTTCAAAGAAAATTCTAAAAATAAGTTATACTTATTTTCTGTTTCTTTGACTCAAATCTCATTTTTTTCTAACATTTTGAGAACAAAAATGATAAACAAACAGGTTTTGAGTGTTTTTAAAATTTTGAAAATAAAAAACTGTTTTCATATTACAAACCAAACATGACCCTAATTTTCTTATATTCTAATTAAGGGTCTTATCAACAAGCATAAAACATATCGACCGTACAAGGAACATCCATTTTCCAAGTAACTAATTAGCAATTCAATTATTCTCAACAAAGGTTTTAGCAAATTCTTACTCCATCTTTGGCATTGTGCCTTAACTTACGCTAAATTGCATTTTTTTTTAGTTCAATGGTCAGAAATTTTTGAGTTAGTTTATACGTATCTCGACTAATTCTTTCACCAATTTCGTTAAAGAAAGATCATCCATATCGAAATTATGGTATTTATAAGGGATAAATTCTTCATTACCTAATCCCAAGAGATTATTAAAATTCTAACTTAAAATACTTGAATTTATAGCTCGTTCATATTATCACTTAAACTATCCTTCAAATTTTTAAGTTGCATTTTGAGTTTACCGATAAAGAACTTCAACAGAAGATGATAAAACGGACTACATTATATATATATATATATATATATACCAACTTTTTCAGGTTTTATTAATTTTGATTGAATTCAATCATTTATCATTAAATAAATTCGAGTGGTGGTCAAGATATGAAAAGTTGGGCTTAAAGGTGAACCATGACGTGATTAAATAATTAAATGGACATGAAAATAAAGTAATTTGACTTGGTGGGGTCTATCAAAGATGAGAGGGACCTCGGCTCTACTAAATAGCTTCCAAAAATATAATTTCCTACAACACCCACTTGATGTTTCAAGCAAAAAGGTGGTGTCCACTGCCAAGGGGGTCTGTATAATGAAATAAAAAACAATTTTTTTAGGCTTTTTACGTGATGGGTTTACATTAGGAGAATCTAAAAGGCCTTTCTACCTTAATCAAGTTGAGAGAGAGAGAGAGAGGCATGGCTTTTGCAGGGAGAAAAGAGTGTCAAGGGGTTCTGCATCAGAATATATTAACATAGAAAACTTTGTAAAAAGCATAGCGTAGGTCGTATGCTAGCAAGTTGATGTATAATAGTCAAGAGTTTTTTCTCAAATAAAACTTCGGTACTTTAACCCTAACTAAGTAGAGTAGTCTGGATGGGAAGTACTATCTTGAGGTCCTAACTTTAAATCTCTCAAAAAAATAAAAAAAAATGGCTCGTACAATGAGCAAGGTTTGCTTGTCCTTGCATTAAAAATCATAATTTACATTGTAACTATGAGTTTAAATAACCGTGGTTAGAAGAATGTTCTAGTATAGAAAAATATGTGATTTTGTTGAAAAATATTCGAGTAAATTTAATATATCATATAGTAGTGTCATGGAGTGTGCATATTGAATGAGAAATATGTACAATATCTCGAGCGATATGATAGGTGATAATCATTCATTAGACATTTATAATTTGTTTAGTTGAGAGCGGTAAAGTTTTTGGTTAGTTGAGAAATATTGGACTTAGTTAACTCTAAACAACCCTATTATGGCTTGGGTCATGCATGACTAGGACTTAGGCTTTCCATGTAATGTGCACAGCAGCCATGGTTTTCTTTAGTCATTCTTGTGTGGGAGGTGACAGCCTTGCAATTGTTCTTAGTGCTCTTCCAAGTTGGTTTTGTTTATTGCAGTTTTTATATTAGTTTTGCCACAAGTGAAAGAAACTTTACAGTCACAAAGCTATACCAATCATTACCTTTTTGTTATCTGCCACTTGACTATGGTATCTATATTCAAAATTTTAGGATTATATTAAAATTTATTATATTTGTGAGTATTTTTATTATATTTATGAATATTTTTATCACTGTTGTAGTACTCAAAAAAGTGATAAAAATAGTTACTGTAACAGTGATAAAAATATCCACAAAATGATAAAAATATTCATANATCTACCAAATGATAAAAATATTCACAAATATAATAATTTTTTTTATATATTGAAAAAAATAGTAAAAATAATTACCACAATATTAATTAAAACATGAAATTATCTACAAAAATA